TAGAATATGGGAAGGGGGCAAGGCAACTTGAAGTTGCACTGGCACATCAGGCACAGTGTTTTTACTTAACCTGTTTTCTCATTCAGGGTGTCTTGAGTTGGGGGATTAATGGAGATTAAAGAAGTCTAAATTAGTACCCCCAGGATACCTGTTTGTTTCACTACTGTCTGACTAGCATACTTGCAGTCTACATTAATGGAAGTCCCACTGCCCCCTGTGCACCTGGTTTTAGAGGAGATAGATTAAGCAGAGTTTGCCTGGAGAAGAAGGGAGAGTATGGTAAAAGGATGGAAACTATCTCAAAATACTAGGGAACCAAATATATCGACAATTGAGTATGTTAAATTTGGAGAGGGAGATTGGCCTCCCTGTGATGCATGTTTCCATATCATAAAAAGAACTTTGAAAGCATGAATTATCTCCAAAGGAGAAGAAGTAGATGGTGAAAAAATTTACAGAGACTACAAGGAAAACCCTGTACCCACCCTTCAACTTTAACCATGTTATCCCTTTTTGTCTGGGAAGCAGCACAGTAGTGGTTGATAGCTTGAGACCTGGAGCTGGAATGCTTGGGTTTGAATCCTGACAGGGCCAGTTATTGCCTTTGTGGCCTTGAACAAGCCTCTTATTTCCTCTACATGCCTCAGTTTCCTCATCTGTATAGTGAAGGTTAAAAATAGTTTCTACCTAGTAGAGCTGTTGTGAAGAGGTAATGCTGGTAAAGTAGCTACCTGGCCCAGGATAAGCGCTCAGTAAATGTTAGCTCTTGTTTTCTCACTGCCTCTTTGATTACTCTTTGCATATTGAGGGACAGGATTGCCCACTAATGACCCTGAAGGTTCTATATGGGTTGCCTAGCAACAAGCTATCTGGGACCAGTGGCTGCCCCTCCTTGAGCAGGAGGAGCTGTACAGCATTTCAACTTCCCCAAGGGCATTGGGTGCTAGTAGCTGACATTCTAAGACTGCTCCCCAGAGCAGATAGCTCCTGAGCCCAGATTGTTTATAAGGCAAGCTTTCATCCTTGCCCTAAAAAAGGATAGAGGACTAGGGGACGGGATCCTTTTCTGGAATACAACCATGGTGTGCCTTGACTCCTGCATGCTTCTTGGTGGAAAGAATGAAAGTGTGGGACGGTGTATCTCATCTTGTAGCCTGAGTTTCTCCAGTGAAGCCTACTCTGTGCCCATACTGTGTTGAGATGTTTACCTTCACCTACCCCCACATCCTTCCCTGAACTGTCTCACTCCTCTTTATGCTCTGAAAGCATACCTCCAGGGCAAGTCCTTTGCCTCCTTTTAGATCTTGCTATGCTTTCTCTCCCAAAATTTCATCTGCTCCTGGGGTTTCAGATGTCACCCTTGTGCTGAGGACTCTTGCCCACACCTTGTCCTCAAGTTCCAGGTGCGACTGGACATTGTCACTTGGACCTGGCATCTAAATCTTCAAACTATTTAAAATTGAATTAATTTTTAGGTTTTCTTCTTTCTTAGCCATGAAAACAAACAAAAAGAAACCAAACAAAAAACCCTCTCCTCCTACACTCAGGAACTTTGTGACTTGTACTGTCATCTATCTTGTCACCCTGGTCAGAAACCCTAGGGTCCCCCCAGGCTCCTCCCCATGGCCAGCCAGTTGGCACAAGCATCCCAGAGTCTGGCTGCATTGCCCCTGCTTTCTTCCCAACTCAGGGCCTCTTCTCCACCAGCAGTACTAAGGTCTCTCTCTCCCCCATTTCGCCCAGCACACCCTGTCGAGCCAATTTTCCTTCAGTGCCTCCCATTATCTAAGTATAACTCTTCACTCTGGTATTTGAGGCTCTCCACACACAGTCCGTTTCTAGGATTCAGTTGCTGCTGCTCCACCATCTATACTCTACGGCCAGTAAACTGGGTAACTCACACTTCCTCACACTTTCTAGCTTCCATGGTGCTGCCTGTCCTGTCTCCTCCATGTCAAACACCTTCCTAAACCACCTTCACCTGTCAAAACCCTACACATCTATCAAGCTCATGCCAGATGCCCCTCTCTCAGGAAGCCTTCCTGTGAGCTTGCCTCCATTTATATCCTCTGAGAAGAGGTGTGTCCCTGGTTTATGACAACTTGTTAGGTTCTACTGTATTATCATCACATGGACACATGTGCGATTCTTTTCAATTAGCATATATGCTCTTGAGGTTATGGCTATTGGTTAGAAACAGTTTATACAAGACCTCCATTTATATCCTCTGAGAAGAGGTGTGTCCCTGGTTTATGACAACTTGTTAGGTTCTATTGTATTATCATCACATGGACACGTGTGCGATTCTTTTCAATTAGCATATATGCTCTTGAGGTTATGGCTATTGGTTAGAAACAGTTTATACAAGATGTACTGCACTGGTCCTCATGAATATGTCTGTCAATTGAATTGAACAGGGGCTGATTTACCTGGAGAAGAGGAGACTCAGAGGACTAGGGGACTGGTTTCATGTGCCTCTATCACTGTTTACCATGGACACTCAACGTGGTCCCAGGAAAACAGACCTTGAACCAATATCTCTGTCTCTGGGGGGTATCCTGGGTCCTCGCACAGCCAGAGGCTTCCCTGGGGTGAATAAGCTTCCTGCCATCCATCCAGGGTTTTTGATAATTCACCACTTCTTGCCTTGGCTCTCCCCTCTTCAGCCTTCTGGCTCTCTACGTGCCAGGCTCACACAAAGATGCTATGCAGCTCTCAGAAAGGAACATGTTGGACATTTGCTGCCATCTAGTGAAGAAAGAGTGGTTCAACCTCTTGCTAAAGCCAAGCAGATCCTGTGCTCTCCTTAAAAGGTGGCCCCAGGAATCCAGTTCTGGCCAAACTGAACCAAGTGGACATGTACAGGTATGTGTTGGGGGAGGGGGGGACCAAAACTTCTGCACAGAGCAGATCCCATCCAAGCCCCTAAATGGTAATTTGGAATGATCAAGACCATATCCTTCCAGATCCTCCCAAGAGGTACCCCTACTGGAATGATGACCATCCCTCTTTTTCAGAAAATTTGGTAGGAATCTATAAAACACTCAGAGTTTGTAATCAGAGGCATCTTTCAGAGGAATTATAGGTCATTTCCAGTACCTCAAGGAGAACTTGGCCATGACTTCAGATCTGATGATTTCCACAAGGTCTTCACAGTCCTGCATAGGAACCCCTATGGCCCATCTCAAAGGTATTCTGGTCCTGGCAACACCCACTCTCCCCTTCCCCAGCATGAAACAAAGGCTCAGGCTCCACAAGGTAAGTGACAATGTACAAGTCACTTAACCTCTCTGAGCCTCAGTTTCTCATTTTTATTTTTTGGTTTTCTCATTTCTAAATGGGGAATACCTTCCTCATTCATTGGGTTGTCATGAGGTACAAAAGAGATTATTCATGAAATTAGCCAGTGCCCTATGCACACAGCCACTAAATAAATATTAGGCAATGATATTATCACTACTTTCACCAATGCTCCGATGCACAAGTCTGCCTACAAAACTAACAAAATTCAGGCCCTCGATGTGACTGCATCAAGTCATGGTTAAATCTTGTACACGCTGAAAATAATCACCTCCTCAACCTGCCACAAAATCCAGTGCTGCCCTTCTCTCTGCTGGGCAGTGGAGGAATGTCAGAGGCTTGGACCTCAGATTCCAGGCTGCTGACAGACACATCAGCTTCCCACCTATCTGAGGTACAGGATTCAAGGCTATTTCTGTGAGGTTTTCCTCCACACCTAGACTATCACAATGTAGGTACTTTGCCCCCAGCCCAGCCTCTTTGGGGACTGAAAGCCTAATGCCTTTTTGGCCTTCGGGCATCTCCAGTTTTAAGGTAAGTCCTGGGCTTCTCTTGGGCCAAGCACTTTTGATAGGCCTGGGTTTTTCTGTGCGCTGCATTTCCTGCATACATTCGGCCAGAACCGAGTATAGGGCTCATCAGATGGCTAAGATCACTGGCTAACCAGCATGTCTTGTGGCTCCCACCCTGTGGCCTGGGTGTTGCTCAGTGGGCGCTCCCTCCATTCAAGGTGCTCACTGCAGATATTTTAACCAGGGTCAAGTGGGACTTTCTTATTAGTTCCAGCAAATGGTGCACTGGAGCCAGCTCTGGGCAGCTCTCAAGAACTTATTCAGAGCATCTCTTCCCAATTCCACATCCTAACATTACGTTAGCAGCTTGAAATCAGCCATAGTGGGAGTATTCACACCACAGAAATCAGTGAATGCTGCAGAGCATGGCTTTTCCTCTTTCCCCCTGAAGCACCAACTGTTAAACACTTATCAGATACATGGCTGGCTCCAGCCTTTCATTCCAAGTAAAGCACAACATTTAAACCACTACTTACATGGGCACCAAACAAGAGGGAAATATTAGTATACTATCTGAAAGAAATTCAAACTGAAAGTCTCATTTATTTATTTTTCAAATATATATAACAGAGATTGCAGCTGTGAAAGATAGAATGGTAACTGACAAGTCAATATCATGCCTTTAGGTTTGAAATAAATCCAAAATATGTAATGTTGATTAAAAAAATCTGCAATAAACCATTCACTTATTGGCACATTTTGGATTTCCACTTAGCTTGGAAAAGAGCTGTATGTCATAAACCATACACTTGTACTAGGAAAAACATCCAACAAATGTATAGGGTAATGTACCTAGCAACATACGGAAAAACACAATTTAACATGTTAGTGTGTTTTTTGTTTCTTATTCTTTTGTTTTGACATAAGTTGTGTTTTGATCCTAACATTAGTGTGTCTTCTTCCTTATTAAAGCAGTACCAGTGGTTAACAGTCAGGCAGCCTTATCTTATATCTCTCTAAGAATCATTTAAAATGAACATTTAAATATCACTTCTTTTAGCCAGAGTAAAATGGAGTAGCTAGTTCAGTGAGCCCACTGCTTGTTCATACACTGAGGTGTGGCCCCCTGGAACTCAGAGGCTATAGGTAAGGCTGTGAGGCTGTGAGGCAGGGGTGGAGGTGAGGGACTCAGTCACAATGGACCTTGCCTCTGGCCACCCCAGAACTGGACAAATCTCCATTGCAGAGTGTCTGGAGTGGTGAATGGGGCCTGTCTTCCAAGGCACACAAGCTCATCTTCTTCATGTGCTTTCGAAAGGCCTTTTGAATAATAGCAGCACCTCTCTCCTCCTCCTTTCGCTTGGTGGTGGTGACAATAGGTTCATATAACTTCTTGTAAGGATTGGCTTCCATAAACTTCTCTTCCATCATTGCTTTCATGCTATCCAGGCCATTGGAGTCACCCAGTACCCTAGTGGTGAATGCGAAGAGAATATCCATGCAGTGGAGGCGATCGCCACTCACCATGGGCAAGTCCATTACTAGAAATTGAAATTTATTTGGCTTTGCCACACGCAAAGGCTCAGGCAGGGCATCAGCAAAGTCAGAAAGGGCAGAATATTCGATAAACTGTGTTGCTTCTGGGTCAAACTTTTCCCAGACTTCATAGAATATATCAAAGTCATCTTCACCCAAAGGATCCTCACTTTCTTCCGTGGCTGTATTGAAGTTCTCTAAAATCACAGCTATATACAAGTTGACAACAATGAGAAAGGAGATGATGACGTAACTGACGAAATAGGTTATGGCTATAGCAGGGAGGTGGCAGTTCTCTGAGGAGGGGTTACATGTGTCATTTGATTGCAACATGGGGCTGAGGAGGGTATCCCAGCCTGCTGACGTGGTTATCTGGAAGAGACAGAGCATGCTTCCAGCAAAAGTTTGAAAATTTAGTATGTCATCAATTCCAGACTCTGGCTTCACTTTGGAAAAACAGTTCATACCAAAAATGGCATAAATAAACATAACCAGAAAGAGTAGAAGACCAATGTTGAATAGAGAGGGAAGGGACATCATCAGAGCAAAAAGGAGGGTCCTAATTCCTCGTGCTGCCCGAACAAGTCTTAGGATTCGGCCAATCCGAGCCAAGCGGACAATTCTGAAGAGTGTTGGAGGGAAAGGAATGTGCTCCTGGTTTTCCAAGGCAGCAACCATTGTACCTTAGAAGAAGGAGAAGGATCATTGAACTCCCGGCAGGCACACTGGTTTCAGACTCAGCTTATTTCCTGCTGCAGAATCCTAGTAGAGCTAACTTTTTACTAATACTTTGTAATTTATGCACAAAACTAAGATTTTTTTTTTTTTACCAGTACCAGGGAAAATATTTATCTGTGCTTTAACTTGGAAAATGATTTCCAAGGGCCATGCAATTTTCGATAGTACTTTAGATGGGATAGTACTTTAGATGCCTAAAATACTGAAGACAACCAAGGAAAAGAATGCAGTTTATGAAAGGCTACTTTGTAAATTATCTCATGTACTCAAAGTGTATTATCTGTGTTGGGTTTTTAAAGCCACTCATGGGGTAACAAATAACAGTGGTTTTCCATATTTATTGAATATATAGAATGGAAAACAGGTAAACTACAGTTTGAGAGTTTCAGGTTACAAGGAGAAATTTCTGCTACTGAAGGTTGGCTTGAGCCTGAGCTGCCAGTAGAAATTTTGGAACCCCTAACTCCAAACTTCCTCAAAAGGGACAGGTTCTTATTTGTTTAGAGGAATTTGGACACAACCTTGCTATGGGCAAGGACAGCTTATCTGCTGAAAAATCCACAATGTGTGTGGGGCAGGAGGGAGACGGTGGCACTGGGATGCTCATCTTTAGGCTAAAACTGCCCATGAATCTCTCGTATTTGTCAATATGCTCATTCCAAGACTCTTGCAGTCCAAACTCAAAAAGTTTAAGTGACAAAACTTGGAGATACTTTCTCTACTGTTGTGGATGCCCCAGAAATGGCATCTCAAGCAGAGGTTTGTGCAAACAGCTGAATATTTGACCTAAACTGTCACCCTGTTCTCTCATTGCCTGCTTTGCAGGCAAGTCATATAAGGATGTAAAACAACTCAAATTCTGGCCTAAATATTATAGAGTGGCTGGAACATGCTTGCCTTGTGTAGACATGGCCTTGTTCTTTCTCTGAGTGTTCTGTAAAGTCATTAGGGGTCATGAGGAGTCAAAATGCTTCTGTCATCACATAATGACTAAAGGGAACTAGATGATATACTTCACTATCTGCCCAATTGTGCCAAAGAAGTTTAATTCATATGTTAATTGGGCAGTCAACCCTGGTAAGATATAAAATTTACTAAGTGCCAACTAAGGAACAACTAGAGGAGATCCATCCCTTAAGGCCCACCTCCTCCATGAATATTTTTCTGGTCAATCAAGTCCACAGTAATCTGTTCTTTTTCTGAGCTCAATCCTTCTGAGTACCATGTGATTTGGTGTACAATTAATTTTCCTATCTTTTTCTGACACTTTAAGGTGGGTAAATTTTAATACCTCAACTGGAATGTTAACTCCTAAAGAGAGATTCACTTCAATTCACACCCATTTTGTATTTCTCTAAAAGCTTAGGAAGAAGCTTGAGAAAGTGTTGAGGTAAAGTGTTGGATGGCAGGCATACTAGCAAAGGCACATAAAATTCTGTCCACACTTGTGAGTAGGACTTAGCTTAATGTGTGGATCTATACAGCATGTGTAACTGCAATTGCCTAGGAGCTGTTCAAAGGACAGAAGTCAGAGATATTTCCACAAACTGTACAATGCCTGGCACTGCCTGGAATGATGAAGCTGCTCTTCACATATCAGAGGAAGGGCTCTTTGAGCTCCCAGAGGGGCTGCCCCAGACTCATCTTACCACCATTTTCTAACTTTTATTGCTGCTGTCAACTTTATCAGGACGTGTGATTGAAATTGACTCATAAAGATTAAAGGTCTGTTTAGCTGTAAACATGCAGAAGGATTTCTATTGCTAAACTTTATCTACACAAACATCATGGCTAAGAAACCAGAACAGACTATGAACTGCAGCATTTTTTCTACTCTCTGAAACATCTGCATTGCTGTGGTAGCAGTAACAGCCAAAATGTTTAGATCCATCATATCTGTTTGATGCATCCTTCTGACATTGCACAAAAGCTTCCACTTGTGAAATCAGTTTTTCTTGTCTTTACTGCTTTTTGATCTATGAGAAGGACTCCTGGGCAGTTTTACACAATTATGAAAAGTCAAATTAATGGTTTAGTTAAAAACAAACTTCGAAAACCAAGAGTAAACTCTTATAATTTAGCTATGAAAAATTTAATTTCAAGGTTGAGGTGTGTGTGTTTTACAAAAAGGTATATAGCAATAACCCTTTTTCTTTCCTATTGTTCTTCCATAAACCTTATCACTAACCCTGCCTATGGTTAGAAAAAAATATGCTTATCATATAAGCTTATTTATATAAGCACATTTATATTATATATTTATAATAAGCAATATATGCTTATTATATGCTTATTATATATGCTTATTATAGTTGGTGAATGGGGGCAAATCAGTTGAGATGATAGTTCACACTGTGGTTTAAGTTCACATGGTCTGTAGAATAAAGAGAAAGCACTACTTGTTTGTATGATACACTCTTGGAAGCCCAATCTACAGTTAGCCATGGAGACTTGCATAGGAGGTAAGAGAAGGCACAGCAATGCCACAGGGGGCATAATAATTGTGATATCATAGCCACATGGATTTTGAACAAAGGAAAAACATAAGAATGAAATGCCAAATCCTCAAAACTATAAAATGCTCATTAGGGCTTATAGTTGCAGAGGAAAGGTAGAACTTCGATTCAGTTACCTGGATAAGTTAGGTACCACCACAAAAACTTCTAAGTCATCTTAATTTTGTCTGTCTCCATTGACTAAATGGTCCACATAATTATTTAACTCTCTATTTCAATTGTGTAGACAGTCAAGGGAATGGAAATTACTCTCTATCTCCTAGCAACTTTCATGTAGAGAATGGCATTAATACACCTGTCTATATTTTTAGAAACCACATTAAGCCTAATTTGCTGCTTTGTGAATAGTTTAGGCATACTTTCAAATGATAAGATTTACAAGTTTACTTCTAGCTGTCAGTTTAAAGCCACTCTGGCTGCTGATTTTACTTACTAACAATAGAAAGAAGCACAACCACACAATCAAATAAATTCCAGCCATTGGTGAAGTAGTATTGCCTCAAAGCAAAGATTTTGATGAGACACTCTATTGTGAAGATGACTACAAAAGCCAGGTTGAGACGCTCAAGGATGCATTTCATGGCTTCAGGTTGGTTATCTGATTCAGCCATCATGCTAATCATGTTTAGGATTATGAGACTTATGATGACGATGTCAAAGACCTGGTTTGTGACTAAGTCGAACACGAGACCTTGGCATTTGCTCTGAGAAAAAAAGAAAAGAGAAATCGTAGATCATTTTGAGTTGCAAGAATGAAATCACATACCTAAAAGGCACATTAATGCAAAAGAACTTGTTCTTTCTTACAATTAAAGCAGTTCCTCAAAAAATGCAAAGACCCTTTCCAAAGGGCAAGGAATTCTTGTAGATACCCAGTGTTGCCTTACATATTTTCACTTAAATTAAATTAAATAACTGGTTTTAAGTGTTTAGGCTTATACCTTTAATTCCATTTTAAAACAAATATAAATAAAAAAGTCTTAGTAACAATGGTGATGTTTTGCTGAAATAAAACAGCATATGTTGGATTATATAATAAAAAGTCTCTATATTTCATCTATTTCTGTATTTTTACTTCAATAATATCAATGCAGAGAATACCTGCTCACATAAGTATGTTGGACAAAATGGAATTAACACCTCCAAGACTCCATTTGCCAGTTCAGAATAATCAGAATTTATATTTAACCAAAACTCTGTATTGGAGCAATTCTTGAATGCCAATTTTCTAATTCTTGTTCATTTGAAGATAAAGCTAGAGAAATGGAATTCTGATGCAATGATTACTAAAAATGAAAACAGAAAAACTGATTATTCCATATTATTACTGATGGTGAACTTCCATATTGGTTTCTTTATAGAGGGCCATACTGCCCACAAAGGGAGTGTATTCTGACTGTTCTTGTACAGGCTCAAACTCAGGTTTTCATATCTATCTACTATGTGCAGTGAAATGACTCAATTATTTTGCTATTTTCTTTAATATGACTATTGTGAAGCACTACTTTGTTCTATACTTTGTAGAAAATTGTTCTTGAACACAAACAGACACTGAAATTGTATGGCATTCTTGACTATTCATTTCTTGTTTAATAATACATCTATATATTGAATTATTATATATTATCATCTAATTAAAGTATTCATACACTATTCTATTTAGAGAACTCATAAAGCCCTAAAAATACATCTTTAGATCCCCCATGGATCTGTTATGGTAATTCAGGCAAAAGATGATGCCGTCTTTTGTTGGTAACAGTAGGTAAAGATGTTAGCATGTAGGTTTAAAGAGCTAATATGGAGATAGAAGCAAGAGCAGAGTGTATGAATGCAGAGGCCTTGGGAAAGTTAAGGCTGAGGCTGTCGTTTCTGGTTGGTGGAGCTCTTTAACCAGCCAGAAAACAGAGGGCGATGCGTTTTGGAGGGAGATGATATCTGTCCTGAGCAAGTTGAGTTTGAGGTGCATTCAAGGTAGAAGTACAGGTTTGGAGCTCGGGTGCAGAAACTGGAATGCAGATGTGGTGTTCAATGGCATCAATATGGATATGAACTTAAGCCATGACAGTGCATGATATTACTCAGGGACAGCAAGTGCAATGAGAAGAAAGAGGGTAGAGACAGCATTGGAGGGATACGACACTTAAGTTGGTGACTTTCAAACCATGTGCTGGGAGCCCTACAGCTTTTATCAAGGAACCTGGAGAAGACACTTGAAAACCAAGTACATTACCTATGTGAGAATGCATCTGGAAGGTCAGAAAGGAGCTGGAGAACAGATACTTTTAAGGATGCTCTCAAGGGAAGCAGAATGAGGGGCAAGAAGAAACGGGAGGGAGGATAAATATTGGCTCTACAGTTAATTCTAACATTTATTTAGACAATTGGAGGAGAGTAAGAGCATAAATTACCTGAAGTGTTAGATGATCAAAAGCATTCTGTCACTTTAGAATGCCTAATGACTCCTGTAATTTTTAAACAAAGTAAAAGGCCACCATGTGTGGAAGCTTCAGAAGAAATCAGAAATGATTCCAAATCCTTTGCTTTAGTGCTGGAAACGAAGCATTGCATCAATGCTCTGACTAAAACAGCTGGATTTTCCTCCTTATGGGATTGCTACTCATTTGTCCCAAAGGTCAAAAGATAATATTTATATTTCAGAGTTTTTAAAAAAATCCCTGGAGAGGTAAAGTTGTGGATAAAGGGCTAATAGTTGATATGAAGCCTTAACTCAGACTCAGGGACATCTGACGATATGATGTTGTATTTACCTCATGCAACACTGCTCTCTGGAATATAGAAGTTAAGATAAATGTGCAGCATTAGCTGGTGAGATTGTAATTGGTTATCAGAATCTTTCATTAAAGGCTTGATTGGTGAGTTGTAGCTACACAAGGAAGGCTATGACTTGGCACTTACTCCCAGATGAGGCATGTGACAAGCATGCTATAAAAGACAGTTGAGGAATGAGGAAGTAGCTTTCCCGTGGTGAAGTCGTCCAAGCCCACTTTAAGTTCATTTCTTGCAGCCTAGCACGCCCTGTGCAGTGCAGGGGCCAAGAAACTGTACCTGTGTTGTTGCTACTTCTGTTTGGCTGTGTGCTGCACTGCTTGAAACAAACTGGTAAATATGTGGGAACATACTGTGTCTTGTGAGTCTTTTAGTTAATTCCAAACCTAGGACCAACTGGTGTTGAGTCAGTGGTTGCGCAGCATGCACATGTAAAACAAAAATTCTTTTTGTCTCTTGTTCAAAGAAAAACTTCAAAGTGAAATTAGTACTAGAAGGTGAAATTGGTATTTCAAAGCTAGATTCAACTTGGGTAAATTGAAGTTCCACATACTGTTGATAGATTGAACCTCCCCAAATATAATTTTATTATTAACACTGTGGTCAAAAACCCCTCACTGTGTAAAGGATAAATTCTAAATACTTAAGCCCTGACATTCACAGACATTTTTAATGCAACCCAGATATTTAATCCTAGTGTCAGACTTTATTTGTGCCCTAAAACGTATTCTTTCATTTAACAAATAGTTACTGAGAGTACACGTTATGCCTGGCTCTGTTCTGAGTGCTGGGAGTAGCAGTAAATTAAACATATTTTTGATCATTTTGGGTCTCGTGTTGGAATGAAAATCTCCAAATCCTCTGCTTGCTTCAGATTGCAAGCCCCTCTTCTATACCCCTTTCCCTGACTTCTCACCCCTACTCACCCTCCCTGTATTGAAAGTTTTCAAACTAATTTGTCAGAGCTACTAACTGTACCTATTGTGTTAGTTTACAGTCTAATGCTGTCAAATGTGTGTACGGCATCCCACCTTCTCAACTGGACCGCAATCCCAGAGCAGCATTGAGTGCTGCTTCTAGCTTGCCCCTTAGTACCCGATAAAGCAGGAGTTACAGAGAGCAAGGCTCTACACACTGGCCCACAGGCCAAATCCATCCAACCACCTGTTTTCGGATAGCCCATGAACTCAGAAAGGGTTTTACATTTTTTGATGTTTGGGAAAAAAACCAAAAGAAGGATAAATTTCGTGACATATGAAAATGATATGAAATCCAAATTTTCGTGTCCATGAATAAAGTTGTGTTGTAACATAGCCATGTTTATTTGTTCTATATTGTCCACAGTGGTACCTTTTGTGCTACAATGGCAGAGTTGAGTAGTAGCAGCAGAGACCATGTGACTGCCAAAGCCTGAAATATTTACTAAGTGGCCCCTTACAGGAAAAGTTTGCCAATCCTTGATCTACAAAATTTATCATAAATACTTGTAAAGTGGCAGTGAGTATATGTGATCTCAACTTCACACCAGCAAAAGCTAGTAAGAGGTACTACAAATACATTTTTTTGACTTTTTTAAAATTTCAACTTCTCAATATACATTGTAGTTAATTTTCATGACCCTTTACCCATTCCTCTTCCCCCCCCTCCTCTTCCCCCCCCATCATATCTGTTTACTTGTCTTAACAAGTTCAAGGAATTGGTCCAGATTAAGTTCAAACAAACTACCAAGTTCACGTCATTGCAGTGAATATATACTAAGCACCTGTTGCGTGCTCACTAAAAGTAAGTTTAAGTGGTTGCTCAGGCTCTTACTATTAGATTTGAATATCTAATTTTCCTAAGGACTTGAGTGCATCCAGGTTGTTGTTTAGTTCTTAGATAATATTTGTAAATTTTTAAAATAAAAGAGAATGGCATGAGAGAAATCTGAGTTCTTCACAATCATTCAACTGATCTATGTGCAATATTTCGAATCACTCAGTTGCTCTCACCAGAGGCCTTGGAATGGGTTTTTGAGGTTTCTTGGATCCTAATTTTTTCATTGCGTTATAGTATTTCTTCTGTTCTTCTGTCATAAAAATGTCTTCGCCACCTAAGTATATGGAGAAGATGAGAGCTAATTACCTTTAACAGTTTTTGAAATCAAAAATTCTAAATTTTTAGAAATAATTTTGAAGTTACATCACATTTCTATCAACAATCCCTAAAATTCCAATGGGAAGAAAAAGAGGCTGGACTCTAGGGGAGGGCTGAAAGGGAACAGGGTTGATGTTAAGGAATAAGTGAAAAATAATACTTTTATCAGTTATATATCACTCTTTATAACGTATGCAAAAATTACAAATTATTTGCAAACATCCACAGAATCTTTGCAAAAACTGGATATATTTCAGGTTACATAAATGAAACCACAACACAACAAAAATAGATATTAGTAACAATAATTTAGATAAAGTATATCTAAAGTATATTAGTAACAATAATTTAAATAAAGTGGCAATTGACATTCTCCTAAGTAATGAATACATGTAACATTATTAATAAAACTGCATGAAAACTGTCCAGAACCATTCTCAGAAAAAAGATAGAGTTTTAAATATTTTTACTACTGGGCAAGAAAGAATAGAAAAATGAACCAGGATTTTTATTTTTGAAAATTCGGGGAAAAAATATTTAGGAATACTGGAGAGAATAGAATAGAATTCTTTAAAAATGTATAGCTGAACTTGCACAAAAGTAAGGACTATTTCCAGTGCCTGAAAACTGAAAAATCAAAAGACAGGACAGCTCCAAAACCATGGCTGGCCTACAAACACTTGCTAATGCCTGTAAACTAGAACCTTGGGTATTAATAACTGTGAGGGGTTCATGGAGAAAAAAGACATTGGGTTTATGCAAAGGCAATGGGCTTATGCAAAGGGAGGTGAGGCACAGCAGTCCCTACAAGAATTTGGATTCTCCCAGGGCCACCAATGAAAGGGTGAAGAAGGAAACAGTATTCGTCTGTTGGCAATGGAAGTCAACCGGGAAACTCTCAATCTGGACTACGAGTAAAAGGTTAATCTTTCCTAATAATTTGTGACTCCAGACCTGCTTCAATGAAAGTTTGGGGTTTAAATTTACTCCATGAATATGGACCAAAAATATACAGCCCTAGAAGTTAATCAGTTTGTTTTGGCATGCTGGGCAGAAATGAGTCTTTTAGTAATCATATTCATCATGACAGTATTAACTATTATTAACTATTATTGTTAACAGTATTAACTATTATTTTGAGACTGTTGTATGTGTGTGTTGCAGGATAAAGAAAATGAGTTATTGTGGAAATTTTTCATTTTATCATATCCTGTGCCCTTGAGAATCAGGTTTCGCAGTGTGGAAAAGAGGAGAATACAGATGTGTCAGAGACGAGGTTAAGAGAAAACTTTGTAGTCCTTATTTTGAATTATCAGTACGCATATTTCCACATATATTTACTTGTAGTCCTGAATTTGAAGTAGCTCTCTCTTGGAAAGGCCTAGAAACAATAATAATGAGCACTCCAGATTGTGGTCTTGATATACCATTTCCTACAAAAAACCCCAGCACTCAGAGAAGTGACTGATTCCAGATCTAGGGCAGGAAGTTTACAACCGAAGCTCGGAACATCTTGTCATTTCAGAGAAAAGAAAGCTGTCACATGGGAGGACCTTATTTGAATCCTGATTTGGAAAAAAAAAAAGAAACAAAAAACTTTAACAGAAATAAATAAACGAATGAACGAAATAATTAATAAATAAATATTTTAAGAAAATTAAAGTCTCGGGGCAATTTGAACATAGATTATTTGATAAATTAAAAAAATTCATGTTAAGAAAAAATGGCGACGGGTCTGGAGCGCCCGTGTCAGGAAACAGCGCGATCCTGAGAGCTG